TACACTAGTACTCGTGTGCCCGCCAGTGGGAGGTTTATAAACGCTGGCCATGACCTATAGAGGAGACGTCTATTTCGTGCCCGTACTGTATCCGTTTTTCGTGATTGCACATGTTGGCATGCTATAAGTTTAATTAAGGGCAATCCATATTTACTTATTGAGTTATCTCACCTCGTTGTTCTCATCCACCATTTCAGGTAGTGTGCCCCGAGACTCGGAAATCAAGGGGAGTGACGTGATAAAAGGCTAGTCACTTGAGATTTGACATAGATTTTAGATACATGTACACCACGCTCTTGTAAGTTAGATCTTAATTGGAAATTTTATGGTATCAAAACTGATTTTGTTCAGTAAGTTTCGAGCCTTGTGCATTTGTGGAACCCGTCTCACGAGTGTACGGCGTCTGTCGCGCCTCGAATTCGGGTTTTGGGGCGTGACACAAGCAATAGTCCCTATATACTACAAGTCAAATGATGAGAAAATCAACTTTTTTGAACTACGAGATCTAAACCCCCTTCCACTCACCAAAGCAACTCTTAAATTATGAATTAAGAGTTTTGAAGCTAACCCCTTAGGCATTGTTGTCTCTTTCTCCCTCAATGGTTAGGGTAGATTAAAGGTGAGAGTTTTCTTCCCACTTATGAGAGTTTCTTCCTCTCTTGTGAACGTTTCTAAGGGTTTCTACCTTGACTTTTTTGATAGCTTTTATCAAAATTCATTTTTGTTGGAGGAGGATGGCGACTTGAATGCGATATTGGTTGGACTCTAGATTAGTTGTCACATTTGTTTTGATTGTTGAGGGCATGGTTGGGGATGGAATCCCTAGCTAAATTTTTTTACCCAACCAGGATCTAGCACAATATTCATGTAGGTATTAAATTATTTGATTTTGCATTTTCATGCATTTTATGAGTGTAAAATCTCTAGCATATTGCCCCAAAATTCTTTCTTAATTTTCATAGAAAGTGACGCCTAAATATTTCTACCATGTGGTGACCAAAATGACAACTTTTAGGAAAACACTTTGTTGTGGTCATATTAACAAACTACGCAGTCCAACCAAAATAGACTGCAAGATTAATAAATTTTATTTGTAATATTGTTCGTACTATGGACGATGAAAACCTTGATATACAACTTAACATCTACAATATAGACAAAGACTTTGACTTGCTTGGATTTGGGTTTTTGACTTGGAAAATAGAAATGGACGAGAAAAATCAAGATCTTAAACATTTACAATACCTTTTATAGTGTTCACCACCCACTCAAGATTCAAATGATATGAAAATTAAAAATTGTGTAAATATTGAAAATTTTGGAGTCGCGACATTTATTCAAATAATGGTAAAAAGTAATAATAAAAATGGGCGAGAAGGGTATTTTTTTAAATCTGAAAAGGAATAATAGAACGAACATCGGAGACACTCAAAAGAGACTCTGAAACCTCACTCTGATTACATGAATAAAGAATAAAAAACAAATATTTTTAGGGTTTGTTTGGTAGTACTAAGAGCTAATCTATAGTCAAACTATAAATTATATAAGATTTTATTTTTCCTTTCGGTTTGGGACTACAATGAAGGAACTATCATAAATTGTTTTAACAAATTTTTATTTTAACTGCCCATATTTTGATGATTCATTGTAACAAAAAAAAGTGAGTAAATTACATATTTTATAATTATTAATTAAAAATAAATTTTTTAATATTATGGTGATCATTATTTTATTAA